AGAAACTGGAACCCTGATTCACTGTTGGTGGGAGTGTAAAATGGTGCAACCCCTGTGGAAAGCAGTATGGCGCTTTCTCAAAAAGTTGCAAACAGGCCTAGTTTTTAACTGGTTTTAGTCAAACATTTTTCTATGTAGTCTGTCTATTTGCTGTACAGAGGTAACTCGTGGTTGCTGTGATGCTAAACACTGTGACACTGATGTGTCAAATGTGATAATGGTTACCCATGGGGGACAGTGTTTGGTGAAGCTCCCCATGTAAAACAAGCTTAGAAACAGGAGTTGACATCCACTTCTGAAATAACTTGCTTCCAGAAACTCTATGACCTTAGAGAAATGATGAAAGTTACACAAGTGTTCAAGTCTTTCATTCATAGGGTCAGTGTGAGTCGTCTATGACTCCATGGCACTTAACAACAAAGCCAGTGGTGGGTATTGGTTTTTTTAAGTGCCATCAAGTCACCTGTGACTCATAGTGACCCAATGAACAACAGATCAGAACTTGAGACAAAATTTTGCCTTCCTTACAAGCACCCTGGTTTTGCACTTCCTCTAAAAACAGATTTGATTGTTCTTTTGGCAGTCCAGAGGCTACCAGCATCACAATACAAAGGCATCTATTCTTCTTCAGTCGTCCTTATTCATTGTCCAGCTTTCAGATACATAGGAAGCAGTTGAAAAAGCCGTGGCTTGCATCGGCCACATCTTAGTCTTTACATTGACATCCTTGCTCTTTAGCACTGCAGAGGCGTCCTTGACAGCACATTTCCCAGTGTAGCAAATCTGTTGATTTCTTGTCTGCTGTGGCCATGAATGTTGATTGTGGATCCAAATAAAATGAAGTTGTTGGCAACTTCAGTCTTTTCTTCCTCTGTCATGATGTTTGTTACCTACTGGTCCCAGCGTGAGAATTTTTATTTTCTTCTTGTTGAGATATAATCCATGTGGAAGGCTGTAGTTGCTGATCTTCGGCAGCAAGTGATTTGAGTCGTCTTCAGTGTCAGCAAGCAGCGTTGTACCATCTGCATAAAACAGGTTGTTGATGAGCCTTCCTCCAGTCCTGATGCCGCCTTCTTTTTCATATAGTGCAGCTTTTCAAAATGTTTGCTCAGTGTATAGATTGAATATATTTGGATAAAAGATACAACTCTGAACCACACCTCTTCTGATTTCAAACCCCTGTTCCTTTGTTCTATGTGGACAACTGCTTCTTGGTCTATGAGCACATTAAATGTGCTGGGATTCTCGTTCTTTTCCTCTTTGCAAGTTTCATTTGGTTCCATTTTTGCATCTTTTCTTGTTCTTTCTTACCTTCTTCTCCTCTTCAAACTTTGTGCATATTTATAATAGCTTTTCTGAGGTCCTTGTCTGCTGACTTCCTCACCTCTATCATTTCTTTGTCTTTTTGTCTTTATTATTAGGCAGATTTCTCTGCTTCCACTGACAAGTGATTTTGCATTTGGGGCCGTCCATTGTGGCTACTGTATTGTTGAATGTCCGGATTTTTTTGCGCTCTTTTGAAAAATGTTGAATTTTGTTTTACTAGGCAGTTAATTTCTTTACAGATCAGCTGCACAATTTAAAGATTTGTTTTCCGCCTTTATTAGGGCAGGTGTGGGCGTTCTGGCGCTCAGCTGAAACCCTAAGACACTCTGCGTGATCTCGTCTCTGTCACAAGTGGAAACATTTCCCAGCTCTGCATGGTGTGCTTGTTACTATTTTCTCCCTAGATTTTGCAGGACTTATTCTGCATAGAGTATAATTTTCCGATTTCCAGAGTCCCCTTGAACATTTCTGGAATTCCCTGTTCTCAGACATCTCTCTTCCTTGTTTCTTGTGAACACAGTCTCCTTCCCCTCAGTTTTCAGCCTCTGAAAACCCTCTGGAGGGTCAGTTGTGAATCAGCTGTGACTCAGCGGCACACAACGACAACAACATACCTGGCAAAGGTTTCAGGAAGACCCTCAAACACTCTGTCCTCTCAGCTGCATAGTCTCTTTCCTGAAATCCTTATATTCTCTCAATTTTTAAATCCCATTACATTTTAAGTTTTACTCAAAGGGGACACCACAGGGCTGTATTAGCTTTTAAAATCTCTCTCATGTTTGAGCATTGTTTCCTACAAGGATAATCAACCAGACTGTCTGAGACTCTTCTTTCTTGCTGGGAACCCAGGTTAGAACCCCAGCGTGTGCTGGCATTCCAGTCAGCAGATGGAGAGAAAGGAATTAGGAGCCTGGGAATTCATCCTGGCTCAACTTGGCCTGCCCCGTGACCCTGAGGTGGTTCTCACCTCTGTTAGCTTTAGGGTCTCCATCTGCCTTGCCCGGTACCCTTGGGGAAAGGGGAAAAAATTCACCACAGCTTCCCAGTCAGTTATGTCCCCTTCTTGGGCATCCCATCTTGGGTGGGTTTCACTTTTCTGACCATTCACTCATTGGTTCATTGATTGCAGCATCAGTAGACCAGATGGTCTGAGTCCATGTCCTCACAGGATACACAGGTTAATGGGGAAAAGAGAAATTGAACAAAAGATCACACCTTTTGTCATTATCAGTGACAGGCGGCACTTAGCACTGTGCAGAAGGGTGCCCGGTGATCTGATGGGGAGTATCAGGTAGGACTTCCCGGAGGAAGTGATATTAAAGCAGCACTGATGGTACAGTCCAACAAGCAGTACTTATCCAACAAAAATTTGAGAGTGAAATGTTCTAGACATTCAGAGACAGGCATGGGCGAAGACCCTGAACTGGGAAAGATTTTAAGATGCAAACAGACCAAGAGGTGAGGAATGAGTGAGCTGGGAGGTGATTGGATAGGTGAACAGACCCAGGCCAGAGCTGAGATAAACAAATGAGACCCCAGAGTGTGTAATGGTACATGCTCTAGAGGCATCCATGAGCTCCCTACCACAGGGAAGGAAGGGTGCCACTCACAGCTTCGTAGCTGGAATCATAGACCACAAAAAGGTCTGATCTAGAAAGTCTCCTAGAATCCAGCCTGCTGGTATACAGCCTGAGGACTGAGGGCCAAGCTCAGTTATTGCTCAGAAATTGCATCCCTCGTGCCTGTGTCCTGGGATGTGTGGCCTGGTGCCATGGGGTCCACGTGGCCTTAGGCAAAGAACCTCCTAAGTAACCAGTAGCTTTGACTTTCTTAGTGGCTGTTAGTTAACAAGCTCAGCCTTTCTGGGCCTGGCTTTGTTAACATGAAATCAGTAATAGCTGTTTACATTCAGGTGGTGGTTTGCCACTCAGAGCATTTTCTAATTCACACACACACACACACACACACTCTCTCTTTCTCTCTCTCTCTCTCTCTCTCTCTCTCTCTCACTCTATCCCTGGGGGGTTGGTAGCACAGGGAGGTTGTTTGCTTTTATCAGGGGAGGTGGAGTTAGGAGAAGCGAAGTTAAGCAGGGAGGTGAAGGGTCCAAGATTGCAGAGGCTGAGGAGTTGGCTTTAGTTAGCACTGTCCCAGCCCCCAAAGCCACAGTTCTTACTCCATGGGGGCTGCTGGGGCCCCCTCCCCTAACACCTCAGGCACATGGAAGCCCTCTGCTTCTGCCTTCATCCACTCAGTCCCAGCATCCCTGGCGTATGTGCTTTGTCATGGTCCTTTCATACAAGCCTGCCTCTGAGGGAAAAGGGGTTTAGAAGTCAGCATTCTGGAAAAGGTTCATGGGCCTGCGTTAGGAGATTCTGATGTCCCCTGGCATGAATCACAGCCTGAGTTTACCCACTCAGAGTCCCACTGGTCAAACTTATGGGTGACTTAGACACTGAACTGGAAAATGGCCTCCAGGTAACACTGATGAGGCTTCCTTGGAGAAGTTTCTAGATGCTCGACTTTCCCAGGCTCTGGGAAGGAACGAGGGTCTTTTTCCAGGAGGCCTTTGCCCTCTGGACTGAGAAGAGCTGGTGGGACCATTCCTGACCTTTGTGCTTGGGGGCCTGTGACCTGTGTGCCCACCCTCTCTGCCAATTCTGAGGGTCCAGGAGGACTGAGGTGTGTTCCTCTCAGGTACTGCCCCCGGGTGGGAGCCACCGGATGATCCAGATACGGGTTCTGAGTGCTCACATCCAGAGGTCTCCCCGTCTCCACGCTTCGTGGCGGCAAAGACCCAGACAAACCAGTCGGGGAAGAAAGCTCCCGCCTCGGTGGTCCGATGTGCTGCCCTCTTGCATCGCACCCCTCCAGCCACCCAAACCCAGACGTTCCGCACTCCAAATTCAGGATCTCCAGCAAGCAAGGCAACCGCAGGTACTAATGGTCTATATTAAGTTTCCTCCTCTCCCCACAGAGGTTTCTTACCTGCCAGAGCTGTGCCCTGGTGTTCTGTTCCCTTCTAAGAGGGATAGGGAGGGTCCACAGTGTTCTGTGACATTTCTGAGCCCCACGTTTGCCTCTTTGGACTCTGTGACAATAGGGACAAGCCAGCTAGCCTCTCTGAGCCTAGATTTCTCTCATCCTAAATCAGAGAGGATTGCAGATCAATTTTTATGCAATAGAATTCCCTTACAACCTCCCTTCCTCATGCCCCGTATTATACTCTTCTCTTTTATTTGTCCCTCACAAAATGTTTTTTTAAATAATGGATTGACAACATTTGCATGTTTTATGCACAATTTTACAGTATTTTCCCCACCAATATTAAAAGTCAGAGATGGCAACTCAAAGACCCAGAAGCCCAAGACGGGAGCCTGAGACCCATAGGACCTGTGGTCTCTGGGCTGGATGCGTGTATTTGCGCTTTGATGTTTAACTGCCTCCAGAAGCCCCTCCTGGCAGTCAAGAGGGTCTCTTGGGTTTCTAGCACTGGGTTAGGGCAACTTGAGTGAGCCTGGCTGTGGAGTCAGATCTGTGGTCTGTGCTAGGTCTCTGAGACTCTTCGAAGTTACCCAACTCTGGGCTCTAGGTAAATTCTGAGGTACCCAGGGTGCCTCTTGCCTGCCCTCCTTTAGACCTGGTGCTGACCAATCACCATTGTTCTCTCTCCCACCTGCCCCTCATCCAGCAGAAAGTGCTTTCAGCCGGAGAGGGGAAGGCAAAGCACAAAACCACTTTGAAGAGACCAACAGCAGCTCACAGAACTCCAGCGGTGAGTGTCCCGAGGCAGCCGCCCTGTGCTGTGCTGCCTTACTGCTCCCGCCAGGCCCAGGTGCTCCTTGATGGGGCTTCCTGATTGAAGAGGGGTCCGGAGTTGGCTGGAGGCAGGGATGTGGAAGGATGTTAGGTCCAAGCAGAGTCTGGAGGGGCCTCTGCGCTTCTCAGGGACTATGACTCCTTCTCTGTGGAAGAAAGGACCCTACCCTGTTGCCTGAGACATGAACTCCCACAGGTCCTAGCTGCTTGAATAGAAGGGTGTCTTTACTACGTTTTAGGATGAGAGCTACCCATTTCTTTCCAGTAGGAGCAAGGGATGCAGCAGAGAGCATTGTGAACTAAAAACTGAAGCTCCAAGTTTTGGTCCCACTTTGGACCTGGGGTGGGACAGGAACAGTCTGTAACCAAAAGGTTCTGAACCTTCCAGCTCAGGCGGGTTTCCCTGAGAGTCTCCATGGTGCTCTGGTGCCCCCTGGTGGCTGCTGCGTGCATAACCTGGCAGAGATAGGGACACCCCACCCCCCAGAACAGAGCTACTCTCCCCAAGTAAGACCCACAGTCAGCTTGGCAGGACTGGAGTGGGCATGATTACTTCCTGTCCTGGAAGGACATTGCAGCCAGTCTTCACAGAATAGGCCAGGGCGGATTGAGGAGGTAATTCTCACACTGGCTATGTTAAGTTAAACCCCCATGTGCCCTTGGAAAATTTAATTCATTAAGTATCAATCAGGTGCCATGCTGGACACTGCCTGGGTATAGAGACGTGGAGAATATGGCCCAGTTCAAGGCCTTCACTGAACAGTAGAGAGCACAAGCTTTGACATGGAGGCTTCTCTTAGGAATATAAACTCCATTGTCCATCCCAGGTTCTAATCCCAGCTCTACCACTTACAAGCTGAGGAGCTAATAAACTTCCCCTCCACTGTATGATGGGAATGATGCTCACCTCCCATGGTGGATGTGAGCTCACAGCGAGGGCCTGGTACAGGTTACACACACACTCAGATGAGTAGGAATGGGGGAAGAGAGGGTCGAAGTAAACCATTCATTTCAGACCCTGTGTGTGCCCTGCGGGGAGGAGCTGGGGTGCATGGTGGGAGCCCACACAAAATTGGCACAACCCCTTAAATGATATAGGGTTTTGATTGTTACAAGCTGCCTTAACCTGCTAAAAGTTACTCTCCACATACCCTTTCCCAGAGGTGTACACTGTGTGCTCATCTCCCCATTGCCTCTTTTCTGTGACTTTCTCCAGCTCTACCCTTTCTGTTAAATCCTTCCCCTGACATCTTACAGCCTTGTGTGTTAATACTTTGTGTCTTGTTGACTACACATTCATTCATTCATTCATTGGTGACTCCAGGTGGTTCCAGGACAGAGATGGGCTGTGACACTTAGCCATGATCTCCACCCTGAGAAAGCTCTTGCTCTAGTCTTGTTTTCCTTCTACCTACTACCTCATCCCCATGCCCAGAACAGTGCCTGCATACAGTAAGCACTCAGTAAATGCCTGCTTGATTGAAGACATTGTCTCCTTAGCTGCATGTCTTCCTGTTCCCATTGTTCTTCCTGACCCTCAGCCTCTCTCTTGGTGATTTAAGGACAGAGGAGACAGACTGGTTGGATCTAGAGTCCCCCAAGTACGCAGACTCTCTCTGTGTTTGGATTCCCAATACTAACATTGCCACAGCCCAAGAATGCACCTTGTTTGCTCTGTCTCTAACTTGGCTGCCTTTCTTCTCCCACCAGAGCCCTACACCTGCGGCGCCTGTGGGATCCAGTTCCAGTTCTACAACAACCTCTTGGAGCACATGCAGTCCCACGCAGGTAAGGAGTGCAACAGGAAGTAGCCATGTGGCTGGCCTGGCTCTGCAGCAGAGGAGTGCAGCTGGGCAGTGTTGAAGCCGGCAGGGCAGCTGCTGCCTGGGGACGGTCCCCCACTCTGCAACGTCCCTGCCACGCCTGGCTGACACAGTGTGGTGGTTCCATAATGGATAGCTGCTGTTATTACAGAGGAAGCTTTGGTGGCATTGTACATAATATGTCAGGTTGCCAGCAAAAAGGTCAACAGTTCTAATCTGTCATCTGTATCAAAGGAAGAAGATGGGTGCATTCCTCCCATAATGGCTCAGAAACCTGAGTCAGTGTATTTGAGGACCAGTAACTGGATGGGTAATTACAGTTGTCAAAGCCAGTTGCCATCAAGTCTACTTCTGTCTGTGGTGACCCTGTCAGAGTAGAATTGTGCTCTGTTAAGTTTCCGTGGCTGAATTTCAGAAGTAGATTGGCGGCCTTTCTTCTAAGGCACCTTTGGATGGACTCAAACATCCAGCCATTTATTTAGGATCTGAGCGTGTTAAGCACTTTGCACCACAAGCAGATGCGGGTATTACTATTCCTTGTATTATTTGTTTCTTTAGGCTGACCTGTCTGTTACACAGTCTTTTAGATAAGGCCAGATGAGCAGTCTGTTCACATAAGATTCTTAGTGGGATCCCCATTCACTCATTTCTTCAGCATATATTTCCAGGTATTTTCTGTACACAGCAAACCTCTTGCCAAGGATCTCTTAAAGTGCTCCTCCCAATAAGCAAAGCTATCGCTAAGAGTAAGATCACCTGACACTGTGAGCCATGGTATTTTCATTTGTGTCGTATGCAATGAAAGTTGGACAGTGAAGAAGGAAGACTGAAGAATTGATGCCTTTGACTTGTAGTGTTAACAGAGTATTGACCATCACGTGGACTACAAAAGATCACACAAATATGTGGTAGGGGAGTGCAGCCATAGTGCTCCTTCAAGGCAAGACTGGTGAAGCTTTGTCTCACATACTTTTCAATGTGTTGTCAAGAAGGGCCATTCCCAGGAAAGACATCATGCAGGAGAGTAGAAGGTCAGTGGGGGAGAAGACGGCCCTGAGTGAGACGGAATGAAACTGTGACTGCAACAGTGGGCTCCGTAGCCCAGTGAGGTTGGAAGGATGATGCCGGAATAGGGCAGCGTTTCAATCGGTGGTACGTAGAATCCTTGTGAATCGAAATCAAATCAGGGGCACCTGACAGCAGGCACTAATGAAGAAGCCCTGGTGGCGCTGTTGCTAATCATTTGGCTGCTGGAAGTTTAGGGGTTTGATCGCACCAGCCACTTGATGGAAGAAAGCTGAAGCAGCCTGCTTCATTAAAGATCCAAGACTTGGAAGCCCAATGGAGCAGTAGTTCTCTCTTACATAGGCTGCCCATGGGCTGAAATTGCCTTGACGGCAACAGACTGTTAGTTTAGGCCCTGACTCACATGATCTTTTTGAGTTCACTATTATTGTCATAGCCCTGGTCTGTGCATTGTTGTACAGAGGTAACTTGTGGTTGCTGTGATGCTGAACACTGACACTAATGTGCCAAATGCGATAACGGTTACCCATGGTGGACAGTGTTTGGTGGAGCTTCCCGGTTAAAACAAGCTTGGAAGCAGGAATGGCCTCCACTTCCGAATTGGCTTGCCTCCAGAAACTGAACGGTGCTCAGGTCTTTTGTTCATAGTGTTTGCCATGAATCGTCTACAACTCAACAGCACTTAACAACATCATTATCAGCATACCTATTTTAATGTGCTTTTGATTTAGTGTGCCCCACAGACACTGAGTTTTTTCCAGGCTGAAGGGTTGTGACAACCCTGTGTTGACCAAGTCTGTTGGCATCATTTTTCCAATGGCCTGTGCTCACTTCATGTCTCTGTGTCCCGTTTTGGTGGTGGTGGTGGTGGTGGTGGTAAGTGCCGTCAAGTCTCCTGCAACTCATAGCAACCCTGTGTACAACAGCTCTGAACCCTGCTCTATCCTGAGCCACTTTTATTCTCTCTGACACACTTACCCCCATTATCCCAGTCACTGAGTCAATCCATCTAATCCAGGGTCTTCCAAGGGTCTACCACCCTTCCAAGCATGGTATCCCTCTCCAAGGACCATCTTGGTTTCACCCTTTCCGGGATGCACCTTTTTTCTCTGCGTAGTCCATGGTATAGTCAATAATTTTCTTCAGCATCACAACTCAAATGCATTGATTCTTCTAGCGCCCTTAGCCATTGTCCAGTTCTCTGACGCATAATAATTGTGAAGACCATAGCCTGGATCAGGTGGACCTTTTTCTCTAGACTGACACCATTGCTCTTCAGTACTCTGGAGAGGTCGCCGACAGCAGATTTCCCCAGTTCAATTCGTCTTTTGATTTCCTGACTGGTGGTATTAAACATGATTGTGGAACCAAGCAAGCTGATGCTGTTAACAGTCTCAGTCTCTTCACCGTCTGTCATGGTAGTTCTCACAGTATTTCAGACTTGACCATGGTGCGTTTGCACATGTAGACGACCTCCCACCAAGCTGCTGCCATAGCATCGATTCTGCCTCATGGTGACCCTCCTTTAGTTTAAAAGACTGTAAATCTTAGTGGATGCAGACTGACTCCCTCATCTTTCTTCCTTGAAGTAGCTGATGGATTTGAACTGCCTAACTTCTGATAAACTGCCCCACACATTTCACACTATGCCACCAGAGCTCCTTAGTAGATTATAGGATTGTGTGAGTATAACTTTTACATGCACTGGGAAACCCAAACATGAGTGTGACGTCGTTATGGTGTTCTGGGACTGAGCCCACCATGTCTCTGAGGTTTGCCTATGTCCACTGCTAATGAACTCATAAAAATCAGGTTCACTTGGCTCACTACTCATTGCCCTCAAGTCTGAGTGACTCTTAGCTGACCCTCCAGCAGGATTTTGGAGACTGTGAATGGCATCGGAGGAGACTCCCTATCCCACTGAGCCTCTGAGGGATTCAGACCTTTGAGGCACTGCCTTTGAGGTTGCAGTGTCAGCTCCCTGTGGACTGTGCCATCAGACCTCTCTAAAGTCAGGTTAAAGCTGTGGGTTGAGGGTCATCTATGAATCACATGTACAAAGATAATTTAGTGAATGTGGCTTCATGTTAAAATAATTCCTTCTTTTTTTAAAATTATTAAAAATCTAGAAAATATAGGAGTGTCTGGTGATTTTCTGATAAACATGTAAATAAATGTATTCTGAGAACATTAAAAAAAAAAGCTGTGGGTTGGCAGCAAAGACCCTAGAGTTGTAACCTGCTCTGTGTGAGCCTTGCTGCTGTGTGAGCTCAGGCAGGGAACTTGTGTTCCTGTCTGTTTCCAACTCAAAGCGGGCCCACTGCAGCCACCGTCCACATACCTGTTGTTACCTTTGCTATCAGCATCCCTCACCAGGAAAGGCTTCCATGGCTGCTTGGGAGCCATGACCTGAGCACTTAGACACGTGGCTGAGAGACCCTCCTCCTCCTCCTCCTCTAAACAGTCACACCTTCCATTAGTCCTTCTGGAAGCTGGGCTGTTTGGGAGGCTCTGTCTAGTGCTTCCTTTCCGAAGGAGGAGGCCATTAAAATGCAAATCGAGTCCTGTGGTGGCCCCACCTCTCCTGTGCATCTAGGTTTGTTTTCTGAGGGGAGCTCTGGGCTGCTTTGTTCTGGTCCAGTGCTGCCAGAGAATGCGCCCCAGCACTCCAGCGTAAAGCAGTGGAAATCCCGGCCTGGCTGAAACGGGATTAAAGGATTGACTCCATAGAGAGAAATTAAGCGTCATGATCTGCGCAGTTCATAGTGCCGCTGATAAGGAGGATCAGCCTCGAATAACACCAATCTCATTAAGGAGCTGCTGAATAGCACAGGGTAATTCCTGCTAATAAACTTCCTTTCTGTTCTGTGGGAAAGCCTGCCTTTCACCCTGGTGACAGCTCAGCAGCAATACTAAAAATAGTGCCTAGTGAGTGCTTATAGCATATCAGGTGTGACACTCGAAGCTTGACATAGATTATTGCGTCAAATCTCCTTGAACAGACCCATTAGTTCAGTGACGCTACTATCTCCATTATACAGATAGAGAAACTGAGGCTCAAAGACACAATCACTAGTCCAAGATGATCACCTGGTAAAATTATCTACTATTGTTTGAGCTTTGTGCCAAGCCTAGTTCTGAGAGTTTGATTAAATTGTTTAATTCTTGGAACAACCCTCTGAGATAATTGAATGTCCATATTAAGTCTGTGTTATAGATAAGGAAACTGAGACGCAAAATAGTTAAGTTAATCAAGGCTATGCTATCAAAAATGGCAGGGCTGCAGCCTGCAAAGTAAACTCTGCAGATGCAGGTAGACCAGGAGAAAGATTGGCTGAGATGGCAGTTCTTCAGAGGTCATTCCTTCCAGCTCCTTTCTTAGAGCTCTGTCAGGAGGACCATGGCCAAGAGGGATGCAAGGATGTCCTCAGACAGCAAATAAACTGGCTGGCCACTCACAGGTTTCAGATTTGGGGGTGGACTGACCTGGTTTCTCAACCCTTGGTGCCATTTCACTTCTTTAGACTTCAGTCCTCTCACCTGTAAAGTGGATTAATCAATTGTACCTCAAAGGACCAGATTAGGGTTCAGAGATGATGCTTCCTTTGGGCATATTATCAGGAGGGGCCTCAAGCTCATCGCCACCCAGTTGGAATCCACTCATTGCTGACCTTCTAAGCAGGTTTTCAGAGTCTGTAATTCAGACGGGAGAAGATTGCTCATTTTTCTCCCACAGGGAACGTTGTAGGTTCAAACTTACTTGCCTTTGGGTTGACAGCACAACTCCTTACCCCAGGCCACCAGAGCTCCCTGTCAGCAGAGGCCAGTCCTTGGGGCAAAGAGGTGGTAGAATAAAACAAAGACAAGACACTGTGCTTTGAAAAATTAGAGGGTCATGGAAAGAGAAGTCTCAAATATATCTACTTTTATTTTTGTCATTTTACCTTGGAAAATTTTCTACCATTGTTTCTTAAAATATTTTTCTTCCCTCTTCTCACTTCCTTTTTCTAGATTCCAATAAAATCTAATTCAGAGTGCTTGATTCTGGACAGTCAAGTAATTGCTGAGGGAAGAGAGGTGAAGTCTCTAATTATAACTGTAGATTTGCATGTTCCACTTTTTAGTTCGCTGAAATTTTGCTTCATGGGTTTTGAAGATCTGTTATAGTGTGCATATACGTTTAGGATTATTGCATCTTCTTGGCAATTTGAAGTGCTAGTTGTTTGTTTTGCAAATAGGTGTTGTTGGATTTTTGTCATATTTTATCATTAAGCAGTGGCTTTGTTTCTGATAATATTCCTTGTTCTGCGGTGTGGGGTTGGTTTTTGTTTGTTTGTTTTTCTGATATACTTCTCAATTTCTTGTTCCATGTCATATCTCTGTTTCAGCATTTTTATTTAACAATTCTGTGCTCCTAAATTTGAATAGATTTCTTCTTTTTTTTAATTTGAGGAGATTTCTTATAGACCTCATAGTCTTGGGTCTTGTCAGTTTGGTTTTTACTTAGTGTAACGGTTTGATTTTTACTAGAATGTCAAGATCATTTATATTCAAAGTGTAATTATAGATACTGTTTCCTGCTTACCTTTTGTTCTTTGTCCCTTTAAAACAATCTCTGCCTTATTTTGGACTGTGTTTGGTTTTTGGTTTTTGTGTTGTTTTTTTTTTTGAACTCCATATTTCTACCACCAACTTAGTAGCTACAACTCTTTGTTTCCGTCTTTGTAGTGTGCTTAGTAGGCCTGTTGGAAATGATGAGATCAGCTCAGGATAGAGCAGAGCTCAGAGCTGATGCAAATAGGGTCGCCAGGAGTCTCAGATGACTCAATGGCACATAACAACAGCAACAAGGTTTACGCTGTATGTTTTTCACTTACTACCATCTACCTTCAAATATTAAACTACTTTCCAAATAGTAAGAGAACCTTTCAGCAATATGCTTGTATTTTCCATCCATATCTTATATTCTTGTCTGTTTTTTTACTAATATACACATATTCATCATTATGTAGTGTTATTGATTTTCAGTGAACAGTCATTTGCATTTTAAAGAGATTAAATAAGAGAGGAAAATGGTGATGGTGTGTGTATGTATGTATGTATGTATGTATGTATATGTGTGGGTGGTGTATATGTGTGTGCCTGTGTGTGTGGGTCTTTGTCTGTGTGTCTTGGTGTGTGTCTGTGTGTCTGTGTGTGTGTGTGTGTATATATATATATATATAATTTCTAGCATTCTTGATTCCTGTCTGTGGATCTAAATTATTATTTAATGTCATTTTTTTATAAACCTGAAGAACTTTCTCTAACATTTCTTTTAGTGAATGTCTCCATTATTTGTTTCAAAACTCTTCATTTCATCATTATTTCTAAATAATATCTCTATGTATACAATGTTATGAAAGATTGTATGAAAATTTAATAGAATTTCTAATCTTAAATAAGGAATTAAAATCTGACAGCAGTGAAAATTTAGGTCAACACTTTCAGTACTCCATTTATTGGCTTCTGTTCTGCATGGCATCTGGTGAGAAGTGTGTTGTCAGTCTCATTTCTGTTAATTTGTGTCAAATGTGTCCTTTTCATCTCTTTTAAGGTTTTCTTTTAATTGGCTATAAACAATTTGATAGTGATGGCGTGATATATCTTGATGATATTTTGTTTATTCTTATTTTGTTTGCATTTTGTTGATCTTTTTGGATCTTTTGGCTTCAGTTTTCATCTGATTGAGAAAATTTTTATAAAATAATGCAGACAATTAGTCTCAGTTACTCCTGGGGACTCCAATTATACGTAGTTTAGACTGTTTGATATTGCTCATACTCTTGTTTATTTCTTTTCACTCCTTTGTCCTCTTTTTCTTTTTCATGACTGAGAATTCTCTTACCCTTTCCATAATGTAATGGGCAAATTCACTGAGTCTTTCTTCTGTACCATCTCATTTGTTCTTATTCTGTATTTTTTTCCACTTACATTTTATTTTTATCTCTGCGTTCCTTTTTCTTTTTGTTTTGTTTCACATCTTCCACTTTCCCCCTTTACTATGTTCAGGATTTCTTTTATACTTGGACTGTATCATTTCTAACAGCTGTTTTGATGTTTCTTTTTTTTTGTGCTCAATCTAGCATTTATTTCTTTTTTTTATTAAATTTTATTAGTTTTAATGAACATTTACAGGGATTTTGGGTTTTCATTCCTTCATTGCCACACCATTCTCTCTACCCTCCTCCCCAGTTTGTTCTTCTTCCCCTGCCATCTGAATGTCTGTTTTAATTGTCCAGTTGCCACAGTGCTTGTCAAAGTCAGTTCTGATTAATCTCCTTTGTCATTGTGTCCTTTGCCATTCCCTATCACTCCTCCCTGAGAGAGACTTCACCCTGATTCATAAGGGAAAGGGGATGGCGTATTCTCTTAGCTACTTCCTGCTGAAAAGGGATGCTGTGGGTTTCAGGGTGAAGATCTTCTTTCACTACTCTAAAGGGCCCCTTTGGAAGTAGGAAACACATAGACTATTATGGAGATTGATTTTGGAATTTAGATGCACTGTTATTAATTGTGCTTAGCCATACATGTTCATATCCTTGAAGATGTTTGCTAACTCTACCATTTCTGAGTCTGTTGATTGCTTTTTCTCCACATTATAGGTAATATCTACTATTTTGAATATCTGATAATTTTTATTGGATTTTGGATATTATGAATTGTACATTGTTGAGTTCTAGACTATAAGGTGTTGAACTCTGTTCTGCAATTTAATTACATAGGATCAACTTGATGGTTTTGTAGTTTGTGTTAGTACATATTAGGGCAAGTCTAGTGTAATTTTTTTAGAGAGCTCTGGTGGCCTATGTGCAAGAAGCTGTGGTGAAATCCCAAAGGGACAACTGTTTGAATCCACCATATGCTCCAAGGGAGAAGGATGGGCAGTCTCCTCCTGTGCAATTAACTGCCTCTGAAGACCCACTGGAGGGTCAGCTGTGGGTTGGTTTTGACTCATTAGCACCAACAACAAGGAATGTAATTATTAATCTACAGTAAGGGGGTTCATGCTCTGGGTCAAAGGACACTAATTGTTTCCACCTACTTTGTGAGCCTTGGGAATTATTTTGTGTCTCTTTCATCAGCTTGTAAAATTTCACCCCATGCTTGCATGATTAATATTGAGCAAAGACTTATGAGAAGCTCTCTGCAGATTATTTCTATAAGATTGTCTTCATTTTCCCAAATGATAACTAAGAGACTTCCTAAACAAGAAGATTGTCTAAGGAGAAGGCAGAATTTGAACTCAGACCTGAATCTTAGAAGCTATGTTTTGCTTTTACCACCATGCTTTCTTTTTAAGGTAGCAAATTGTTGCTTTATGCCCACAGCTGACAATGAGAACAATATCGCCTCCAACCAATCCCGATCACCATCTGCTGTTGTGGAAGAGAAGTGGAAACCTCAGCCCCAGAGGAACAGTGCCAATAACAGTAGGTTTTCACCCAGGGATAGAATCCTGGTGGCTTGTAGGACCCCATGTGGGCCTTCTGGCTCATGCCCTTGTTTTTTGCCTTTTGCCCCAGTACTCACGTCCTGTGCCCTTCGTGGGTAGTACAAGATAATGCACAAGAGATTCAAAAGTACACTTACATATAAGACTTCATATGCAGCAATTACTGTTTCCTGGGACAGGCCAAAGGAGGCCAAGAAGAGAGGAGGTGATATGTTTGTGATCAGAAAGCACCAGTTAGTGACAGAATCAAAACTAGAAACTCCCTTTTCACAGTGTCTTTTAGCTGTTCTTTCCTTTTGCTGTTGTGTTGTCCTGTGTATCTTGTTCCTGAGATCATATTAGAGGCAATTCCTGTATTAAGGAAGTGATTAGTGGGCCTCAAAGAAGAAGCTGGAGGGCAGGTGCAGCCACTATTTTGCACATATCACTATATGTTATTTCCATGCCCGTGGCAGGCAATACTAAACTAATCATTTGTAGACCTTTATTTATCTAAGAGCGCCACATGTTACAGGCAGCCAGCACCACCTAATTGTGTGCAAGACGATCCAAGTTTATTGTATCTTCGTACTGAGTGCTTAATACCTTGGGCTGCAGCTTGACCTGGGAGCCTCAAATGCTAGGCTTAATTCCTTCTCTCTTTGTGCCCCTCACCAGCCACAGGCAGTGGTTTAACACCCAACAATAGCATGATTCCCGAGAAGGAGCGGCAGAACATCGCTGAGAGGCTGCTGCGAGTCATGTGCGCTGACCTGGGTGCACTGAGCGTGGTGAGTGGGAAGGAGTTCCTGAAGCTGGCCCAGACCTTGGTGGACAGCGGTGCCCGCTATGGGGCCTTCTCGGTCACTGAGATCCTGGGCAACTTCAACACACTGGCGCTGAAGCACTTGCCACGCATGTACAACCAGGTGAAGGTCAAGGTGACCTGTGCCTTGGGCAGCAATGCCTGCCTGGGCATCGGCGTCACCTGCCACTCACAGAGCGTCGGCTCCGACTCCTGCTACATCCTCACAGCCTACCAGGCCGAGGGCAACCACATCAAGAGCTACGTGCTGGGCGTGAAGGGGGCGGACATTCGTGACAGCGGCGACCTGGTGCACCACTGGGTGCAGAACGTGCTGTCTGAGTTTGTGATGTCAGAGATCAGGACGGTATACGTGACAGACTGCCGAGTGAGCGCGTCCGCCTTCTCCAAGGCCGGTATGTGCCTTCGCTGCTCAGCCTGTGCCTTGAACTCTGTGGTGCAGAGTGTGCTGAGCAAGCGGACGCTGCAGGCCCGCAGCATGCACGAGGTCATCGAGCTGCTCAACGTGTGCGAAGACCTGGCGGGCTCCACAGGCCTCGCCAAGGAGACCTTCGGGTCACTGGAGGAGACCTCGCCACCGCCCTGCTGGAACTCGGTCACGGACTCTCTGCTGTTGGTTCATGAGCGCTATGAGCAGATCTGCGAGTTCTACAGCCGGGCCAAGAAGATGAACCTCATCCAGAGCCTCAACAAGCACCTGCTCAGCAACCTGGCGGCCATCCTCACGCCCGTGAAGCAGGCGGTCATCGAGCTGAGCAACGAGAGCCAGCCCACCCTGCAGCTGGTGCTGCCCACCTACGTCCGGCTGGAGAAGCTCTTCACGGCCAAGGCCAATGATGCAGGCACGGTCAGCAAGCTGTGCCATCTCTTCCTGGAGGCACTCAAGGAGAACTTCAAGGTACACCCAGCACACAAGGTGGCCATGATCCTGGACCCACAGCAGAAGCTGCGGCCGGTCCCTCCCTATCAGCACGAGGAGATCATAGGCAAGGTCTGTGAGCTCATCAACGAGGTGAAGGAGTCCTGGACTGAGGAGGCTGACTTTGAGCCAGCCGCCAAGAAGCCCCGCGCTGCCACCGGGGAGAACCCCTCGGCTCAGGAGGAGGACCGGCTCGGGAAGAACGAGGTCTACGACTACCTGCAGGAGCCCCTCTTCCAGGCCACCCCCGATCTCTTCCAGTACTGGTCGTGCGTGACCCAAAAGCACACAAAACTCGCCAAGCTCGCCTTCTGGCTCCTGGCGGTCCCAGCAGTGGGGGCCAGAAGCGGGTGTGTAAATATGTGTGAACAGGCTCTTTTGATCAAAAGGAGGCGACTGCTAAGTCCAGAAGATATGAACAAACTCATGTTTCTGAAATCCAATATGCTTTAAGACTTACAAAAAGGAAGAAAAGGAAGCGTAAAAAGTAAGAAGAGAACATTAGGGAGGAGGAGAAAAAAAACACATAACACTGTCACAAACAAAGAAAAGGCAATTTTAAGTTCTAAACACTGTGGACCTCATTTTAAATGCCCCCCTGGAAACTTAAGTGCTTTTTTCCCCGTGTGTGTGCGCATGCGTGCTGCCACCTGCACATGGCATGCACGGGTGTGGAGGGCTCTGGGCTCACCCCACGGCCACAGCAGCTCTGTGCGTGCATGTGCACACATACAACCCTGGTGCATGTCCACGTGCCAGCTTGTGGGCACGTGGGCATTTAGCTGGGCGTGTCAGGAAAGCTGAGTGTGCGGGAAAGAGGGAAGATGCTCCACCTCCTTTTTCTCCATTCGGGGGCTTTAAAAGACTCCGTTTTCAGGTGTGCAGATTGGTTGAAAGCTGATGTTGTAAGATGTTCAGGCAGCTGAGAACTGAAGTGACTTGACGTTCTCTGTCCTTCACCCCACAGCCCCCCACTCCCTGCAGTATTCCCACCCTCTCATGTCCCCTCTCTTCCCCCGCTGCTCTGCCATGGATTCTCCAGACGGCATCAGATGGACGGTTCTGCACTGGACTCTCTTGTTCACCTTCAGGGCATTGAGCTGCTGCCCCCACAACACCCTTTGGTTGCCTGGGGGCAGCCGCCTTAGAAACACACCTATCTATCTCCCCAAATCAGGAAAGGAGACTTTAAAAATATAAAGCTGACTTTTTGCTTTTTAATATAAGATAGAGAAACAAAAAGACATTTTTCAGAGAAGTATAGTTACTGTCTCCACTCCTTAAGTGATTCCCCCCTAACATTTTAGCAATTTCTACCCCATTTTTGTTTTGTTTTGTTTCTTAAATCTTATTTAGACTCTGTTAGGAAGCACTGAATGTCTATAACTTATGTTTTGGAGTCTCTTTATTGCCTTTTTTTTTTGTTCTTCGAGTCACACTGTAAACTAGCTCATCTCAGTGGTATATCCAAAATCCTAAGGTTTTTGTTACACTCTCCCTGTACAGTCTAGTGTTGTCATGTATGCGATCAGCCAAGACCAAGAAATTGGTTGCACTGTTTGGGAGACCGGGGTGGGGGCGGGGTCACAGGTTTCACAAATGTTAGGTTTTGGTGGAAGCCATAGGGGAAGCTTGTGGCTTAGGAATTCTGAATGTAAGCGGAAGGCCCGCCCTCTCGGTTGGCTGTGTCTGGTACTGCGAATGTCCGGTTTATATACCCAGAGTGCATTACGCTACTCACTATGTCACTGACCCTCCCGCTCAACAGGGAATCTGGAGTTCATCTAGAGTCATGTCCATCCCACCTCAGACTCACAGCTTCCCTCCCTTCCCAGGGGTCCCCCGTGGCACCAAGGCCTGCGGCCCTTGGGGTCCTCCTGTGAGCTTCAGGCCTCCTGTCTAGGACAGTCATTGAGCATGGTGCCTTAGGGCCATATGTTTGATGTCCTTAGGGGTGGAGAGGCTTTAGAGCACTCTTGACTTGATGCTGTGAAAGATAGATGTACTTAAGGCTCACCTCTCTTACTGCTCTCTCGTCCTGAGCAATTGAGACGGAACCTTCTCAGTCTAGATGCTCAGGAAGTGATTTCATCACAATCCGTGCTCAAACCCTCCACCCGTCAGTGAAGGAAGGACTGGCGGTCCCTCTGCCCTCTGCCCCCTATCATGGTGGCTGGGGAATAGAGAGGGTAAAGCGAAGCACTTCATCTGAACAGAACCACCATAGTGGGGGCGGGGGCAGGCTATTTACAAAGGCACATACTACCATTCTGGAAAGGTTGACCTTTCCCAGTAATAAAACATTACACAACTGCAAGATACCTCGACTACAAAAAGCACTGTAGAACACTCCCCTCCCCTCCCCAGGCCCGTGGCAGGAGGGGCGTGAAGTCGGTTGGAAACTCAAGCAGGTTTCACCGTAGGGCCCATAACACAGCCCTCGGGGCCAAGCCTGGAGACTTTGCCTCCTGAGATCTCACAGCCCTCCTTCCAGAGGCAAGGACACATACAGAGAGAAATGGATCCAAGTGGGCCATTTCCACTTTCACTCTGGCAAGCCATGGTCTCAGGAATCACTGCCCTGCATCCTCTCCTGAAGAAATCCTGTGTGTTTTCTCCGTGATGTTTCCATCTGGGATCCTGTCCTCAGAAGTACCCCGTTTATTTGCCTTGGAACAGGAAGGGGGAGAGACCTGGACAGTTCACTTCATGCCATTTTCCAGAGTATGGGAGCACCTGTTGACTTTGTTCAGACTTTCAAGGACATTCCAGAAGGTGACAGAAAGGTGACTGGCTAATTATTGACAGCTGCCTACAGCGAAGATTCCTCCAGCTTTGCATTCTTGCTGTGGAAGGGCCTGTGACCTAGTACTCTTCATCACACAAGGAGGATGAGAGCTGTCCTGCTTGGAGCAGAGCTGTGCTGGTGCCTCTTTATCACTGGAGGAGTTAGTTAGCAAACAGTTGAGCATTCCACTCTTGCAAAACCATTGGGGTCCAAGCAGAGATGTGCATTAATATATTCAGCAATCTCTTTGGAACATGAGGATGCCTGCCTTCTGGAAAGACGATTGGAACAGTAGATCTTGTTAAATTCTTGGTGTATGGTCTATGTTGTCACCTCACAGCTTGATCCTTCTCTATCCAGTAGCCAGGGCCTGGCTTGCCTCTGATATGAATGCCACTGGATACTAAGAAAGCCATTTCCTCTGTCAGATAACAAGGGGTGAGAAATCATTTCTAACCCAGTTCCCCAGACACTGGCATCTTCAGCAGGAAAAGTTAGATACCCCTCAGTTTTCTCCAGGAGCCCACTCCCGTTCGTACAGATCCCACTGCAAAGAACAGCTTGCTAAAACCAAAATCTCTCCCAGGTTCAGCCACTAACCCTATTTTTTCCAGCAATATCCACCTTATTCAAATTCTAGTTCAGCCAAAGGAATACGATCAGTTCTTCCAGCTCTTGCCCCAGGATCTGGCCTGCCTTTGACTTTGTAAAAGAACTTGCTGTCTGCCTACCAGCTCTATGACTACTGCATGCTCTTGGGCTGAGAGGCCAGGAAGGTGGATCAGTACTGTTATTCTTAGCAGTTTGAGATGGTTGCTTGCTTGTTGGCTTGGCTTCAACTCACCTCGCACCGTGGCCAGGCTTACCAGAACGGCTGTGACCTTCGTTTTGACATCCACTGACCCTAGAAGGGAGGAGGAGAAAACATACCTCCACTTGGTAGTGTTTTACTCTCAACCACAGCAATTTTGCTTCACTGACAAAGCCCAACCAAGGGCATCATGGGGTGAACCCCCAGCAACTCTAGTGACAGCGGTGCCCTCTGTCATGAGTGGCTGTGCTTATCTCAACACCATTCTCCCTTTCTCTCTCCACCATTCAGACCTCTAGGAACAGAACAGAGGGCCACCCAAGAAAAGCTCATCTCTGCCTCCATGTCATCCGTGGGGAGGTTCACAGCACAGAAGGCCATCTGCTGTGTCACTGAGGGAGTTTTGCCACCACCCTGATTGACGTGCTTGGCTTTTGGGATTAGTCAACAGGGAAAGCGTACCATGGCTTTCCAACAAGGATGGAGGCTGGCCCAGTGGCACAAATGAGAAGTTGAGGGTCTCCAAGATTCCAGGAGAACTTTTGGGTGCCCAGTGCGTCAGTCTAGCAGGAGGCCATGCCTTCCTCTCGTCTCCTGCACTTGCAGGAAGAGAACGACTCAGAGGAGCCTTTCCACTTTGCGGCTGGACATCCTCTGATGTAGAAGGCACCTGCGCCCCTTGGACTTGATCTGGGCTTCTTGGAAAGGGGCCACTAGAATCAGGGATCCAGCATACACTTGGGGGCACCGGTTAACAGAAAGTTTTGATGGGATGATGGAGAAAAGAGGCCCTATCACCAAGACAGTTGTATGTGAAGAGAAAGGAGAAGGCAGTACCTAGAACAAGACAGGTCACCTCCTGCTCCAGTATGCAGCCAGTCTATGGTGTGGCCCTGAAAGTGGCACCCGGCCTCCACCTCTGAGATGTGTCCAAAAGAGAGAGGGCCCCTCGGAAGGCTGTGGACGTTGCTAAGAGGTGAAGACTCAGGCTGTCCCCTGGAGATGACAGATGGGGAGCTCCAGGCCTGCCAGCTCCACCCCAGCCCCTGGACCGAGCTGGGCCCACGGGAGATCCAGGTAGGGGCCTCGCTGGCCTCCTTCACTGTGGCTATTGCTCGCTAGGCCAGTTATGGTGAACCAATGATACAGTGTTTTTCCTCTTACATTTCCCTCCTGGCTTCCCCTTTTCGGGGTTTCCAGGGGAGATTGTTTTCCTGCCTCATCTTGGCTTGAGGGTTGTGGTCAGTAGATAGCCAAAGAGCCCAATGACTTCCATGAAAAGTGGAAGATCATTGGGGGTGGGGGTTGGATGTGTTCGCGTCCCACTCCACCACAGGCGTCACACGGATTCAGCTCAACAGAGGAGGATTTGCTAGGTCTGGTGTGAGCATCACAGCCCACGAGGGTCCTACCTGGTCCACGTTCTGGCCCTCCTGACACCTCGACTCCTCGAACCAAAGTTCCTTCAAGGGGCACAGCCCAGCCTTGTTCCCATCCTCAGGGGCCTGGGATTCCTGTGGCGCTTCTGAGACCCAGGTTGGCTGGGACATGCGGCCTGAGACCAGCTGGAAGTCGAGTCTCTCCCACAACCCAGGAGCCAGCTAGGGATTATCCCACCTGCCCAGCCAGGGTGCTTGGGCCTGATCCGGGGCTTGAACTCAGAGCTGGGGGCTTTCTGATCACAGGCAGGGCCATTCCAATGGCAAACATCAGGAACCCATTTTGTACAACCACACATAAAAAAAGCAGAGATATTTTTTAAGAAGCATAAGTTATTTTCTGTTTTATGATCCTGCATTTTTCTTTTCCCTCCAAGTTCATGTCAGTGATTTGTTCACATCAGGTAAATCTTGAGAAAGCCTTGGTGCCCCCCCTATCTCCCACCCCCACTCAGTAACTACATATGTGCACCCCATTCTTTCTCAGTAGTTAGGACGTTCTAGGCAATACCATAAGACACATCTGTGTCTCTTCGAGTGCAAGAAACTCAAGTCATCTTAAAAAGAAAAAAAATACAAAAAAAAATTTACAAAAAAACAAACACAAAAAAAATATCTTTTTTAGGCCAGAGTTTTCTACAGGTATTAATGAATATTTTTCTTAATCCTTATAAGTTTTATGTGTTTAATATTTCTTAATACCGGTAGCATTAATTTATACTTTTGTAGCAACACAATATTTTTATAAACAGCCAGTGCTTGGCTAAAGTCTTCACGAGGGGTTTATGCAGGGTCATCTTGGGACCCTGTGTACCATGTACTGTATTTAAAAAATAAAAAAAAGTTACCTAGTGTCACACTTGCTGTGTTGATTAACAGACACCTTTGTTTGCAGTCTCCTGTATTGTTGGTGCAGATCCAACAGCTCTCCGACGAGTCACATTGCATGGGGATTGAGTGGACGGTTCTTGTGACATGTAAACCCCCGAGACCAAACTTGAGGGTTTGTTTAGATTTTTTCTGTTTGTCCTTTGGGTTCTGTTTGTTTGTTTCTCTTTGTTTGGGTACCATTTCTCCATTTACAGCCGAATCAGTTGCGTGATGTTTCAGACTTTCACTGATGTCAAATGGAGAAAAGGAACAGAATTTTAAAAGATTTCTGCAAAGTAATAAAAAAATGGAAATGGAGCTGTTTAAATGTTGCTGTTTTTACCTGTCTGTCCTCGTCTGAAAGTGGGATGTTCCCATTGAGAAGAGGAAGATTCCACTCGGTTCCTTTAAGTCACCAAAAGCCCCCAACCCAGAATCCAGTCCCCCACCCGCTTAATTCAACATTATTTCCCAGTTGGTTGATGCCAAGGCATAAAGACATCCTTTTGACAGAGAGGATCAATTGCTTAAATGATTTCATGTCGGTGTTGTATTTATGGTTTTACAATAAAACGACCCTTAGGCAGACGGTCGTGTGTGGCGTGTTTCTTGGGCTCGGTGGAGGGCTGTAGCTTCCAGGTCAGAACAGTGCTCCTGTGGGGGCCTGGGTGAGGACAAGTGGCCCAGAGGCTGGTACCCAGGAGGGACCAGAGTGCTCCCCGAGGGGAACATGGGTTGTGTGATGTTGGCGTGTTGACTCCTTAACTGTGAGTTCTCTGGCCCGTGGGAGCTGAACCAGTGCCTGGTAGATGAGGGAGGGACGCAGAGCTGAGGGAAACTGGCCCCTCCATGGCCTCGCTGTTCATCATTGTCCCGTGAAAGGAAAAATGCCTTGACTCTCATGAGATATATAGACCTAATTTCTAAGGCATCGTGCGCACGGGTCACTCATGTCCCCCTTGTGCCCCTTGGTGGCCTTGGGCTCCCCTATGATACGTGACCTCATATGTATTGTCTATATCATTCATCTTGTGGGAAAAGCCCTTGGTGGCATCTGTGACTTGAACAGTTGGTGAGAACTGTGGAAACGTTTGGGCTCAGTGTCTGAACTCATCCCGGAGACGCCCGGGAACAGGCCACCTTGGGAGAGGCTCAGGTAGAGCTGAGCCATCCAGCAGTGGGGAGCCACTGCAGGGGCAGCTGGTGAACCAGCTGTGGACCCACGCTTGGCAGCCCCCGTGTCTCTCTTCCTCTGCTCGCCCTGAACAGCTCAGCAGCATCTCCTGCCATATTAAGTCAACTCCACTGAGAGGCACGCTGGTCCTGCCAGATCCCTGCTGCCAAGGTCCACTTTCCACTTCAGAACACAACTTAGAAATGGGGCCTTATAAACCCAGTGTCTCAGATTGGTGTCTGACCCTCCCTGGACAGCCTAGCTCGGTGGAAGGAGCCAGACTGTGTCCTGGACTGTGGACATGCTTTGGACTGTTCTCCATCCGAGGAGAGGGCCAAGTGTGAGGACCCGGGAGATGGGAGGGCTCTCTAGAAGCCGCCTGAAGCTTTGCAGCTTCTGCCAGCAGGTGCTTGGGATGTGGTTTGAATGTAGCCCAGATGAAACAGAAGAGGGGTTCCGGATGGCCTCAGACCAGGAATTACTTCAAGCCTTGCTACTCAACTTGGGGCACAGTTACGTCTTCAGAGTCTGAGTCACTGATGATTCCCCCACCCCCATCAAAACTCATGGAAACCAATATGCATTTTTTTTCTCATTTTGCATTGTCCTTAAAACAAGCCGGGATAAGTAAAACTGTGATTATGTTTCATAATTGAGATGGCCAGTCATGGGCACTGATAGTATCAAGTCAGTCAGAATTCGTAATGACCCTGTAACAAGGTAGAAAGCCCTGTGGAATTTCTCAAGCTCTATGGACACAGACTGCCTTATCTTTCTCCCACAGTGTGGCTGGTGGATTTGAACCACCAGCCATTTAGTTAGCAGTCCATTGTTTACCCTACAGCACTGCCAGGGCTCCTATGCGCTAAACACAATTCTGTTCCAGTGACTGCATTTTTTCCCTTCTGGGGAATGTTGAGGGATTTTTGAGGCCTTGGCTGGTGGCATAATCACCTTCTAACTCAAAGGCCACACCTCCGGTAAGGTGGATCCACCAGCCATTCCACAGACGAACAATGGGCAACCTCGTGTGTGATTTATAGCCTTGGAAACCAGCCGGAGGATCTGCTATGAGTAGGTTCTGTGTTTTGAGGGGTTTAAGTCCACAGCCCAGCTTTGTGTCCCTTCCTCTCCCTCCCTCTGTTCGTGTCACTGTGGTGGCAGGGAAGAGTCACGATGTGATGTCTTAGCAGTTTATTATTTGCTGTTGGAACTCTGCTCACGGAGCCCAGCCTGTCCTAAGGTGCTGGATGAACGCTGGCTGTGGTCCCCGGCCTCCTTGAGCCACGTCAGTTCTTGATAGGCAGCAGCTCTTCGTCTGCAGACAGAGAAAGGCTCAGAGAGTTGGGGTAGGGTTTGCCCCAGGACCTAGGGCTGTGCTGGGCTGCCTTTGGAAGAAAGGAAACCTGGGGCAGGTTAAGTCCTGCTTGCCGAGGGTTTGATAACCTCTTCTGTTTTCCATTTCCCAGGAGAATAACTGGGGTGCCGAGACCCCAAGGTGCTGCTATCACTGTGCTCATCGTCCTGTGTGGCACTGTTTATAACAGCTGCCATTTGCCGAGTGCTGTGTGCCAAGAACAGTGAAGTCTGAGAGGCAGATAATTAGTTCTACTTTACAAAAGGAAAAAGTGAAAGTGCCAAAATTGCAGGCGTGGCAGAGCCTGAGTTAGATTCCAGCCCTGCCTGGCTCCCAGCCTGCCCAGCACACCCTCTGCCCAGGTGTCCTGTCGGAGCTACAGTAAGACCCTTGAATTGAGCCATTTTCACAGATGGGAAGCTGAAGCCCACAGGGTGGATATGCTTTTCTTCTGGAGCAGAACTCAGCCCTTCTCATCCTTTTCCTCTGCCAGGGCTCTCCTCCACCCCCAGACTCTCAGAGCCCCAGGGCCCCCACAGCCTCCTACACAGCCTGGCAGCAGCAGGGCTACCTACCTTCTCCAGGGGCACCGCAGTACTCCTTGCACTCTTTCTCTGAGTAGAACTTGTTGCCATTGCCCTGGCAGCCTCCATAGGTGAAGAGGATGCACTTCCCCTGGGTGGCATCAAATGCCCAGAGCTTGAAGGAGGCTTTGCAAGGTCCAGTGACTATGGGCAGATTGCAGGCCGCTGCCGGGGGACAGAGGCACAGAGCATTAGTAATCTCCAAGGTTGCTGACCAAGGCTTTGGTCAGGCGAAATTGTTCCTCCGTAACAACTTGCCACTCTTTTACAGATTGGCAGATTTAGGCTTTGCAGAGAGGAAATGACTTGCCAAGGGTCACCAGCCACCAACAGGATCCCTACGATTTCAAAAAACATGCCCTGGAATTTCACCCATAATATACCCTTTCTTACTGTTAGGTGTCATTGAGCTGAGTAGAGCTCATAGCAACATTATGAACAACAGATACAAACCTGTTCCTATCCTGTGCCATCCTCCTGGTCTCCGGCACATCCGAGCCCATTGTACTGTCACTGTGTCAGTCCATCTCATTGAGCGTCTTCTCTGACCCTCCACCTTTCCAAACATGGTGTTCCCTTGCAACAAGCTGCCTCTCCTAACAACATGCCCACAGTATGTGAGGTGAAGTTCTAGTATCTTTGCCTCCAAGGTGCACTCGGGCTACATTTTCCCCAAAACTCCCTTGGAGGCCTCTTCACCCCCTATCCTTTCCCAGCTCCCTGTTAAATTGCTGGGGTGGTTTGTTGAGGAGGATGCAGTGCCCAGAGGTGGGGGCTCCTGCACTCACCCACAGTCCGGCAGGTTTGCAGACACTCTTTCTCGGTGGCAAAGTTGTTGCCATTGCCCAAACAGCCGCCATATTGGAACGTTTCACAGGCCATGGATGAGCCGTTGTAGAAATACTTGGTGATCATCCCCAGGCAGGGCCCTGCCATATGTTCCAGCTGGCAGGAATCTGGGGAGCGGCAGAACGTCAGTATTGTGTGCCTACTCCGTGCCCAACACCAGGCAGGACACTTACTACACAGTATTTCAACTTAGTTTTCACCTCTACACTAAGAGGGGAATTAACAACTCATATGATAGATAAGGAAACTGGCACAGTAATGAAGTAACTAGAGAGTCACGACCAAGATTCAAGATCATGTCTACTGGACTACGAAAGTGCAATGCTCCTTCCATTTCATGGCATGGAGGCCCATGTCTCCATCAACCTACATCCCCACTGTCCCTTCTGCACCCCAAATCTGTAATAATACTAGTGGATGGTGTATCCACCAGTACCCATGCTGGCCAGCCTATCCTCTTCACCCCCAAACCCAGCCCCTGGGATTAGTCTCAAATCAAAACTTACCTGCACATATGGACACACCAACATCTTCTCCATCCATCACTTCCTCCTTTATTCCCTCAGCCCTCCATCCTCTGAGCTCTAACTCACCTTCCCTCCCTGTCACTCTCTTCCTTGGCTCTCTCCTCCACCAAATAGCCCAGAAGTTTTGAGAGAGCATGGAAGTTTTATCTCCACGATCCCTGGGCCCAGCAAAGGGTTTAGAGCAGAATACATCTCATTCATTACTGGGCAAGTTAAAGAATGAGTTGATCATGACCATTTTCCATACATGAAACATTCTTACGTCCTTTCCCAACTTGGTTTCAGAGCTCTGCTGGTCAGCACCAATAGCCTGGTCACATACTGCACTGATTAAAGGCTACGGGACCATATTGGTGGAAGTAAGACATGAACTCATTTCTCATCATGGAGCTCAGAATGCCTAAACTCACCCTGACCCAATGCAAAATAGGGCTTCCTAGACTTATTAAGCTTGGAAGCAGGAGTGGCATCCACTTCCATAAACAGCTTGCCTCCGGAAACCCTATGAACCTGGAGAAAGGATGAAAGTCACACAAGTGTTGAGGACTTTCGTTCATAAGGTCGCTATGAGTCATCTACGACTTGATGGCACTTAACAACATAGAGACCAGTTAGCCTAGTGGACAGAAAGTGATGCTACCAAGCATCTAATCTGCAGCCCTCAGGCCTGTTTTTTAAATTGTTTTTAGTGAAACATTCTTCTAGGTTTTATAGCCCTGGTGTGTCCACTTGCCGGACAGAGGTAACCTGTGGTTGCTGTGAAGCTAAACACTGTGACCCTGACGTGTCAAATGTGATTAATTGTTACCCATGGTGAACAGTCTTTGGTGGAGCTCCCTGATTAAAACAAGCTTGGAAGCTATTGTGTAAATAGCTTGCCTGTAGAAACGATATGAACTGGAGAAACAAAGTCACGCAAGTGTTGAGGACTTTCATTCATAGAGTCACTATGAGTCGTCTACTACTCGATGGCACTAAACAACAACAGACTTATTATTAGACCAAATCCTTAATTTCCCAGTGGAGACATAAGAAAGGAAGGGCTTTCATAGTAGGGAGGACAGCCAGGATGAGCCTTCTCTAAAGCACAGCAAAAGGGAGTGAAAAGGCACATGGTCATTACCTTCTTTCTTGGTGAAATCAACTATAAGTTCCCCAGCTGCCGACCCTTCATCTTCTGGGGGCAGCAGAGCACGCCGGGCTCTCTAGGGGCAAAAAGAAGATGCTATTGCAGAGATCTTGCTACTAATGTTCAGTTAGATACTTGGCTTAAAGTTTCCTGGGTAGTACCAAAGGTTAAGTGCTTGATGACTAAATGGAAGGTTCCAGATCCAAACCCACCCAGAGATGCCTCTGACGAGCCTGGTGATAAGCGTCTACAGCCTCGAAAACCCTGTGGAGCAGTTCTGCTCTGCTCCACAGTGACTAACATCCCCCTCCGCCCTCATCCGAACCATCACTGGTGACTATACGGAAGTCACATTTGCTCTGGGGTCAGAGCACTACCCATCATTTCAGGATGAGTACGGCCCAGATTTCTGGTTTGTAGCTCATCAAAATGGAGAGATTTCACAATACTCCCACCACTATGCTCTGGCTGCAACGTCCAAGGAAATATTGATAAGGAGTTAATGCTCTCCCTGAATCAGGAACTCAGATGGACAGCACTTCCAGGCGAGCGACTTGAAGGCATTTCTGCATGGTGGAGTTCAGGTGTAGCCAGTTTGTAGAAGAAGACCAGATTATTGGATGCTTGCAGAGAAAAGGAAATTCTGAGATTGGAAAAGGAGACAGGTTGTGACCCAGAGAATCTTCACTCATTCTCAGTCATGCAAGGAGTCGAAGCCTGTCACCCATGTAACATTTCCGGGGGGGGGGGGGCAATTTGTAAAAACAATTGATTCTTATCGATTGATGGAGAAGGGAATCTAAAGAAAATGAGAGATGTGATAGCTGTAAATAATGGTAAGCTATAAAGCCAATAAGCAAAGATGATAAAGCTTCATCTCACGGACTTTGGACATGTTGCTAAGAGAGATTATTCCTTGGAGAGGGACATCATGCTTGGAAAGCTGAAGGGTTGGTGAATGAGAGGTAAACCCACAACCAGGCAGATAGATACAGTGACCGCAGTAATGAGCTCAAGTGTGTCAGATCTTGTGATGAGGAGAGGACAGGGTTCAAAGATGTTGTTCAAATGAAATTATTCTTATCACTGGATTGATAGACAACATCATGATAGATAGTGGGGTGGGGAAAGTGTCAACTTCATCTTACTTGGATCCACAATCAAAACCAGCAGTCTTATTGTCTTGGGAAAATCTTCAGGCAGGGACCTCTCCAAATTATTGATGAGCAATGATGTCAGTTTAATGACTGAGGTGTGCCTGATTCAGGTGATGGTCTTTAAACCACTTGCTACACAGCTCTGAGCTGCACAATGAATAAGGGTGGCTGAAGAAGAATTGGTGGCTTTGAGCTCTGGTATTGGGTGAGAGTACTGAATATCCCATGAACTGCCAAAAGAACAAACAGATATGTCTTAGAGAAGGGGCAGTCAGAGTGCTCCTTGGGGGCAAAGGTGATAAGGTGGAGGTGATAGAGGTATAATTACAAAGCTAATTGTAATTATAGGGAAGGAAAGTGAGGCCCATAAAGGGCAGCACCTTACCTACAGCATAAAACCAAGATTGAGCCCAGGTGGGTCTGGCCCATGCCATAACTCCCTTTTCTCACCCCCCTGCACTGACTCTGCTCATATTGTGAACATATTATGAGCATAATATGAGGAAGTCAGTGAAAGAAAGGAAGACCGTCAGCAAGATGGACTGACACGGTGACGGAAGCAGTTGGATGTCAGAGATTGTGAGGTGGGACAGGGTTCAAGTTTGTTATTCACAGGGTCTTTATGAGTCACGCTTAACTCATTGGCACCCACCAACAACAACATAAAGCCAATAAAAGAATTAAATTTAAATAATTGTATAAATGACTATGCAATTTCATGTAAACATGAAAAATAATTCTATAGTGTAAACCCCACTCTCCGCTGGCAAAGGATATATAAATCCTTTTGTAAGAAAAGGATGGGGTCAGTCTGTCCTGAACGTTTCATGGTCTGTTATGAATGTCTAATAACCTCTGTTTCCTTCTCTTGCTATCTATCTATCTATCTATCTATCTATCTATCTATCTATCTATAATTCTATAAAGGTAGAAAGGGTAAATATAAAACTTAGATCATACCCACAAAAGCAGGAGTGAAGGAAGCCTGAAGGAAGGAATAAAAGTGTGCTAGCTTGCTTTTTTCCCCCCAAGCGTAGTTGTCTGTTGTTTCATTCTTGACAATAATGAAGAAATACAGGTTTACTAATAAAACTGAAAATAACAAATGCTGATGAAGTTGTAGAGAAATTGGTACTTTTAAAACTGCTGATAGGACTGTATCAGGGTATGGTACTTCCTTTAAAAGCCAGCAAGATCTGCAGGGGGAGGGGGAGATTAATCATGAGAGTGTACAATTTGACGGGGGAGGGGAAAGGGAAATTGGAAGAATCTGTTCTGGGAATCAGTGTATTCGAACTTTGTAAATAAGCTAGTATAACAACAACAAAGCTAGTAAGAGAAATGCCATATGATCCAGCTCCTACTCCTGGTTGTCTATCCCTGAGAAACAAGATTTATGAAATAAAGAGACATATTCATGTCCATGATCATGGCAGCATAATTCATATTAGAAAAAAGATGTAAACGACTATATGTCCATCAATAGATAAATGAATAAACAAATTATGGTACATATATCTAGGATAGCATACTACACAATGATAAAGAATAATGATGAATCTGCAAAACATTTCACAACATAGATAAATCTGAAAGCATTATGTTGAAAGAAAGAAGTCAATAAGAAAGGACAAAGACTGTACAAGACCACAATTACAAAATGTCAGTGATAGATTTATACACAGAAAAAAGCATTCATTGAATGTGACCAGGGGTGGGAGTGGGTCAGAGGAAGAATCAATATCTAGTTGACACATGTTAACTTTGGGGGAAAGGCAGACAGGACATAATATGAGGGAGTCACCAGAATGTGCCCCCCAACCCCAGTGAGTTTTCAGAAGCAGTAAATCACACAGGAGGAGATCCTTCTCCTGTAGAGCCGCTGGGGATCCGAACTGTGTACCTTTGGGTTGGCAGTAGAGCTCCTTACCACTAAGCCACCAGAGCTTCTTGCATGAAGCTAGAACTGAATGGTCCCCAGCTACCATAGAAGGTCCTGGTTAGAATGGGAGAAAAGTGTGGAACCAAACTCAAATTCAGGGAACAGAAACTAAAATCCAGACCTACTGGTTTTCTAGAGACTGTAGAAACCCCAAGGACTGTCACCCTAAGTCACTTGTCTAGCATGGTATTGAAGCTACTCCCAGAGGCCACCTCTCAACCAAAGAGTAGACGGACCTAAAATAATCACTAAATACCCACAAGGAATATGCTTCTTAGAACAATCAACTCCACAAGACCAAGAAGGCAAGATGTGTCCAAAAATAAAGATCAGAAGACATGAAGGGGCAGAGGAAAGGGGAATCCAGCAGGGAAAACGGAGAGTGCTGCTGTTTTGCAGAGATGGAAACCAGTGTCACGGAACAATTTCTGTAAGGATAATTGAATGGCAAGCACATCTTTTGTGTAAACTTTCACATAAAAAAAACCCCAAACAATATAATGGGTTTTATGGAAATCTACTGACTTTGTTTTCATTTACTGAGTGGTTTTCTCCCTGCGAGAAGACATCATGCCAAGTTTCCGAACATCTCATGGAATTCTACCACAACTAAAAGCTAATTGTAATTACAGGTAAGGAAAGAAAGGCCCAGGTAGGGCAGCAACTTACCTACAGGATAAAACCAAGACTGAGCCCAGGTGGGTCTGGCCCACACCCATCACTCCCTTTTCTCATCCCCCTCTCTGGCTCTGCTCCCCACCAGAGCATGACCTAGGCCAGGGCGGCAGACTACATGTGCTGAGCGCCTGGGATGGGTGGAGGTGGCAGGGAGTAGGGCTGGGTACGGCGGGAGCAGCAATGATGCACTCACCACAGCTGGGGTGGGTACTGGTTCTTGCTCTCCAGGCACACATTCACCTAAGTCATGGGGACAGAGCAGAAGAGAAGGGTAAACAAGAGGGAATAAATAAATTGGAGTAAATTCTGGACTTAGAGAAGGTATTGTTTCTTTTATGGTATTGCCTTCTACGTGAGAGGTGGGCATCATTCTTGCTTTTAATCCACTATGAATGGCTCTACCCAGGAGTCTTATTCAAGGTTATTTACTGGAAAAAAAAGCGACAGACTGTACCACCCTCACTATCTGCATCATCTCCAACCCGCCACCATCATTTTTTAATCAATATCATCACAAGAACAGCAATGTTGTTATGTGCCGTCGAGTTGCCTGCAACTCATAGCGACCCCTATGTACCACAGCTCTGAAGCCTGCTTTATCCTGAGCCTATCTCACTGACTCTGACACACCAACCCCAATTGCCCCAGATACTGTATTAGTCCGTCTCATCCAGGGTCTTCCTTTCCTGAGCTGTCCCTCCACCCTTCCAAGCATGATGTCCTTCTCCAAAGACCGGTCCCTCCTGGCCACATGCCTAAAGTATGTTAGCAATAGCTAACATTTTTAGAGCACTTCTTAAGCACCAGGCCAAGCACCATCATATCTAATAACTTTATCTCACTGATTCCTCACAGCAACCTGTAAGATGGGCATTTTTATCCCCATTTTACAGATAAAGAAAATCGGCCTGTGAGAGGTTGATCAGCTGAAAGCAGGTCATTTAAACACTGATTCTCTTACTCCAAAGCCCATGCCCTTAACCCCAAATCGCTATTGGCTGCAAAGATGTACTGATGGACTCTAGATACAACCACATTTAAACACATGGCAGTAGAGTGAACACTAACTTTGTTCTACTCTCAGCTCTTCAAGATACACACTCTATTAAATAGGCTGGGGAGAGACTGTGGTTCTTTCTTAGGTTAGAGCAGAACTCCAGGAGCTAGAAAGACCAGGAGTGGTAGGAGTGTGAGGCGTGAGGTGGGCAGAGGTGCTACTTACCTTTGTCAAACAATGTGAAGATGGAGTCGCTGGGGATGCCCATGTTCACAGCAAAGTTCCTAAACTCCAGCAGGAGGGTGTCCCTCACCCTTCGCTGCCGCCCTGCAAGTGGGAGGCAGAGGTGACCCTAAAACCACCAGACACCCAGACCCCGTGCTGGCAAGACCTAAGGAGGTTCTCCCACCTGGAGGTTTTCAATCAAAGTTTGAAAACTCTTGGCCCAGAGGAGGGTTGGGCAGGAAGAAAAGTACAATAATCAATGAATGGAAATCCAAAGTCTCTGTAAATGTTCATTGACATTAATAATAATGATAATAACTCTTGAAGCAGCTCGATCTCCTTGATATGGAAAGGTAGGGGAAGAGGTCTCCCTCCCCATGTTACTAACTCTCCACACACAGAAATCTCCTGTTTTATTAGTTTTTAACTTTGTTTTGTATGTTTTGTCTTTTGGGTTTTTTAAGGTCCTGGAGGTTCTGGTCTGGAATTTTAGAGGTATAGAGAAAAGGGCTTTACTTCAAAGGGGAGATTGAGCCCTACTTTCTCTTCCCACCGTTCACCTAGTTGGAGGTTTTTAACAGAAAAAAAGACAAAACTCTCTGTTCTGCTCCACACTGCTGTCCAGAACTCAAGGGTTTCCAACTCCAGGTGGGTCATCTAGTTATAGGCCTTTACCGTAGAGCTTAGCAGTAACACTGGGTCCATGGCGGCTGAATTTCTTGGTCACAAGAATAGCATACTCATCATAGTTGGTGTGGACCACGTAGGACTCCATGGTTACATTCCATCCTTCGCAAAACAGGCATGGAAAACAGAGATCAGTGACCAAGAAGGCTCTTCTAGTCAGAAACCCTTCATCTACTCACCCCCACACCCATCTATTCGTCCATCCATCCATCCATCCATCCATCCATCCATCCATCCATCCTCTCCATTTACTAATTTATCGATTCATCCACATCTAGTTTCTATACTGCTCTTTAATAATGTTGTTGTTGTTATTGTGTACTGCCAAGTGAGGTCCAACGCTGACCCTCCGGCAGGTTTTCAGAGGCAAGTAATCACACAGGAGGAGATTGACCATTATCCTTCCATGAAGCAGCTGGTGGCCTCGAACCACGTGCCTTCGGGATTGCAGCACAGCTTCTTGTCACAATATTCAACTTTAATTTCTCCATTACCATTCCATTTATCCATCCTTTTCAGACTTTAATCCATAAATATAGCTATTTACTTTCCCTCCCCCCCCCCAGTTATTCACTAATCTATCAGTTTTTCTATTGGATGATTGATTTATTTCTGCTTAGCTGACTAATTCATCTGCCATCCATAAATGCATTCATTTGCCCTCGTTTATCTATCCATCTGTTCAGACTTTTGAATATTTAAGACAACACAATTATTTGTACATAGACCATATTCAATAAATCTTACTGAATTAATACATAAATTTATGCCCAAATATCTCTATCACCACATTGTACTCGGCAAATGTTTAGTAAATTTTTATCAACCGATTGCAGATGCCAAATAAGACATGAAGATTGATGAAATCTCCATGTCACCCTTTGGCATCCAACACTTCTTATGGGCTTCTATCCTTCTGCTCTGAACTGAGGAGAGAAAGGCGAGGACCAGGAGGGGATGGGAGAGAAGTTGGAAGGGCAGGAAGGAGAAGGATAAGCTTAGAGGAAACTTCGAGGACATCTCAGAAACTTGGGAGGAAAGATTGCAGGGACAGAAAGCTGAGACAGAGGAAAAGGAGCTGATGGCCTCAGAGTAGTCTCTGAGCAAAGGAGAGCTCCCTGGCTGCTTCCTTGGACCCCACTTACGGGCTTTGTGGTAGAGAAACTTCCCATCAGTGTTTGTTTTCTCATACGCCCCAGAGATCTCCTCACAGAAACCTTTCCTGGAAATGAAAATGCCAGAGAGAAGGTCACTTCTGGTAGATGCTTTGTCTTCAGAGAGGGTTTCTAACATTTCCAGCTGTCTTGTTTGTCCCCACTGGAGTCTTGGAAGGCCAGCCAGGAGTGCTGCCCCATTTTACCAATAAAGAGAGAAGGGGTGGGGGTACTAGGTCACGCCATCCTCTTACGAGTGCCAGAACTAAATATCAGCTTCCTTAAAACTGCACATTATCCTGAAGCACTGTTGGAATGTTACTGCATTAAGTAGTTTATTAGTCGGTGACTTTCTTGGCTTCAGTTTCCCTACCTGTTAAATGGGGATAATGATCATTTCTGATTCACATAGTGCTGTCAGGGTTAAATAAGGTAAGAAATATAAAGTGCTTGCGACAAGCATTATATAGATACTGTTTTTCATAACAGTGATTATTACTAGCTATTACCATTATTGATGTGTTAATCCAGCTAACATTTAATGGGCAACACTGTGTGCCAGGCACTGCTACATCTTAGGAACAGATGTGAGCAAGTCAGGCCCTGGACCCTCTTGAACTTACCACCACGTGGGGCAGGTAAATCACAGGCAATGCAAGCAGTGTGGTGAGTGCCAATTACAAGGTGGGGAAGGTCAAAGTGGGAGGCATGCAACCTGAACCCAAGGCATCAGGGGGCACTTCCTAGGGGACGTGGCATGGACCCCGAGTCCTGAAGGCCTGCAGGATTAGCACAGGAGGCAGAGAGAAATGCCCTCCACAGAAAGAATATCAATACAAAGGCCAGACCTGGGAGAAGAGGAGAGGGCTCCAGGGATCTCAGTGGGTCTCAGGGCACTGGAGGACAGTGACAGGAACTCAGAGAAACCTGGAAGGCCTCATCAAAGAGTTTGAACTTTGCACCTATGTGCAAGAGGGTTTTAAGCACATTTGAATTTTTAAAGATCTTTTTAGTTGCTGAGGAAAGAAGGTTTGATATTAAAGGTAAAGAGAAGCAAGGAGAGTCTAGTACAGTCAACCAGGCAAGGAAGGAGGGTGGCTTGGCCCAGTGTGGGGCCGTCAAGAGGGAACGAATGTGGGCAGATTGGAGTACTTCAGGGGCATTGACAGGACTGACGGTGGAATGAGTGGGGGTTGCTAGGAAATCTAGGATCCACCCAACCTGCCCTGGGTTACGGCCTCAGGCACCGAGGGATCCCAGTGCTTCTCCAGAGCTATGGAACAACCTAAGATGAGAGGCAGGTAGAGTGGCAGAAGGATTGACTTGGCCTTGTAGAAGGGACCTTCACAAAAGGTGAAGAGTCATAGAGGATTTGGTGCAGCCCCTGAGGTCCTAGGTGGAAGCAGAGGTCTGTAACTTTGCAGGAGGGTGACTGATTTTCCTGGCCCCTCTCACCCGTCCCGCTCTGGCCCCACACTCACCTCCAGCGAGTGCTGGTTGTGCTGATCTCTGACTCTGTAGCCCCCTCTCCCAGGACCAGCGTGCTTATGGACAGCTTGTTCCTGATCCTCTTCAGCCACGGGCAGGTAGAAGCAATGGCCAAGTTGAACCATTTCCCGTAGATCTAGAAAACAGCAGCAAGCTCTGCAGAGCTGGACTTGCCTCAGGCTGAAGCCTGCTCTCCCTCACCTCCCAATGACTAATGCTTTTAAGAGATACTGTCTTCCGGTTAATTGGAGGCCAAACAGGAGAAGGTGGCACCCTAACGGAGGGATTTCAGGCATCTCACAAATTGGGGAAGGAGATGTGGAAATGGGTCCCACAAGTGTGGGGCCTGCCTTGCTCACTTGGCCAGAATATAATCTTCATGCTCTACAGTCATCAATCACTGTTCCCCAAGAGCAGGAATCCTGTCTTTATTCCCCCGGTGACTACCTAAGCTCCCTAACAAAAAGGGCCTCTTGTCCTTGCGCTCTCCCGCGACTGGGCCGCTCAGGACAGGTCTGTTGCTGCTTGGTCCTGACACGCTTCAGGCAGTTGGAAGAGCTCACAGCCCTGCTGATGAGGCCCAAAAGCCCCACAGCCCTTGCCGCCTGAAATCATCAGAAGGCCTCTCTCCTCTACCCACAACCCTTTCTTTCCCCTAAACACACAAAACATGCATCTGATTCCAGAACTGGAAAGGCCTGGAGCTCGTAAGGTGCAGACCGAGTCCTGGAGTGAGTGTAGATCTCATCAAGATCACCTAGCAAACCATACACACCACGCCACACCACGCAAGCTAGTGCATGCACCTCCTTTGCTCAAGACTCTTAATCTCACAACCCTTGTTGTTTGGCATGGTTCTGTCCCACAGCTCGGCTTTCGTTAACCCAAATGCATGGCACTAAGTTTGGCATGCATGGACCACCCCTGGACCAACCCGCCTCTCTGTTCACAAGCCAGGCCTGTGAGGGAAGGGACCCAGGTCCTGCTACCGGAGAAATGCTGAGAGGGCACCACTGTCCCTCAAGTCAAGGTCCGCTCATGGAGTCCCACGTGTGACATCCTTACGGATGTCTCAGAACTCACAGCTGACCCTCCACTGGGCTGTTAAGGCAGTAAATCACCTGGGAGGAGATTGCCCAGCTGGTGGATTTGAACAGCTAGAGAGGTGTGGCCTTTGAGTTTGCATTATTTTTTCAAAAACAGACTACCATGTTTTTCCTCCAATGCTCTTTTGTGTGGGGGGGCTCAAGCATCCATTTGCACCATGGATGGAGTCTGTGGAGGGGGAAAGGGTACATCGATTAAAGAATGAAAGGCTGGGGTGTGGGGGAATAGGCAAGGAGAGTCACAAAAAACTAGGCCCCTCGGTAGCAGGCTCCAGGGATGGCCACAGTCAGGCCAGAGCCTTCTCAGACGTGAGTTCTAATCAGAGCATGGGCTCCTTTTAGAATGCTAGACTGTGATGATATTTGGCTCACCGAATGTTAGAAGAGCCAATTCAACAGCAAGCCAGAGGCATTGGCTCACAACTTCAAAGACTCCTGGGTGGTCTGGGTGGAAGGATTGACTCAGTGAAGTTCCAAGCAGGGAGAATGGGAGCCCAAGACAGGGAAGACCTGCCCAGGGAGATCTGGCTGCTTCCCTACCACCAACGCCACGGCCGGGGAGGCCCACCACCACCGCCCACCGCCGGGGAGGCCCGCGTTACCCGAGAGAGGTTGAAGTTCTCCTGCACTTGGATGTCGTCAAGGTTGGCACTCACTTGCCAGCAGGCCAGCAGCAGCACTAACAGGGCCCCGAAGCGCTGCATGGCTCTGGGCTCCTCTACGCCTTGGATCTGGGGCAGAGGTGCTGTCACCTTCCTGGCCTCTGTGCCTTGTAGCAACTTTAGTGTTTGTCCTTCTCAGGCAGGACCAATCAGGGCCCTAAGGCCAGGTCTGATCGATCCTGTGTGATCCTCTGACGGGGGCAGTGGTACTGAGGGGCAAGGGTGACTGTTTCAGAAGAGGCACTGGGCAAACACAGGCTCTCGTGCAGCCTGACCTGGTTTAGCAGGTAGAAAGGCTGCCCAGGGATCCCTCTCCTGTCCAGTGGGCGTGTGAGGAGAGGGGTCAGGCCCTGCTTCTGCCATCAGGTCAATTCCCTGGAGCTAACTCCTCTGTGAGCCAGCAGTACAAGCCTGTTGTTTTGTACTGTCGAACCGACACATAGGGGCTTTACAGAGGAAGTAAATAACATTGGCAGAGACTGCCCATCTTTTCGCCTTCAGAGCAGCTGGTGGATTTGAACCACTTGTCTTTGGACTGGCAGTACAGCTCCTTACGACTAGCCCACCAGAGCCTAGTTGTGTCCATTTCTCATATGAGAAAACTAAGGTCCAGAGAAAGGAAGTACCTGATCCTCACAATCTCCATTATGCTTAAATCCAGTGCTGCGGTCACAGCCCCAAGTCTGTCTTATTGAGGATGCTCGGTTCCTTCACTATGTCATTTTCCAAGCAAAATGTTCCAAAATGTTTCCAAGCAAAAGTGTGATCTCAGAAAGGGTCAATCCTAGGAAAAGGACGTGAACACGAGAGGGATTAATCCTTGCCAGCACCAGAACAGCATTTGACATATGTTGTTGTTGTTGGTAGGTGCTTGTCAAGTCAGCCATGACTCACAACAACCCTGTGAACAGCAGATCCAACCCTTGCCCTGTCCTGTGCCATCCTCATCACTTCTAATACACTTGAGCCCACTGTTACAGTCAGCGTGTCAGTCTTGTTGAGGGTCTTCCTTTCTTTCATGTACCATCGCCGCTCCAATCAAGATGCCTTTTCCCTAGCTAAGTCACAAAAGGACAAATACTGCATAGCACCACTGTTGTAGAATGGGACAGACATCAGGGTTGGGGTAAGACTGAGAAAAACTGGATAAATTATGTATACAGCATTGAAACAGATGAGGAAGAGAACAGTTTAAAAGTGATATATGATAGGGTATTATGGTTATCACAAGAGTCCAGAATGAAGGTTGCATAGTGGAGTGTACTCAAGGTGGGGAGGAGGGGCGGTGGGGAGATTGTATACCAATGAAGGAATTTTTCTTTTACTTTTCAAAGAAAAGAGCTAACTGGGGCCTGGGGAGGGAGGACAAGTAGAAAAGTGCAATAATGAATGAAAGAAAATCCAAAATCTCTGTAAATGTTCATTAAAATTAATAAAATATTATTTTTTTAAAAAAAAAAGATGCCTTTTCCCAACCACTGACTTCTCCTAACAGCATGCCAAAAGTGTGTGAGGTGCAGCTTCATCATTCTTGCCTCCAAGGAGCAGCCCGGTCACACTTTCTCTATAAGTTTGGCATATAGTTAAGTTCTATAGAAGGAGGGCAGCTGAATGTTGTTGTTAGGTAGCATGAAGTTGAGTTCAACTCATGTTGTTGTTATGTGCAGTCAAGTTGCCTGAGACTCATAACGACCCCATGCACAGCAGCTCTGAAGCCTGCCCTGTCCTGAGCCAGACTCATTAATTCCAACCACCAACCCCCATTGTCCCAGTCACTGTAGCAATTCATCTCATCTGGGGTCTCTCTCTCCTGTCCTCTCCCTCCACCCTTCTAAGCATGATGTCTCCTCCAAGGACCGATCTCTCCTGGCCACAAAACCAAAGTATGTGAGATGGAGCTTCAAAATCCTAGCCATCAAGGAGAAACTTTGGTTTCACCCTCTCCAAGACAGACTGATTTCGGTTCTTGGCAGTCCATGGTATGTTCAAGACTCTTCTCCAGCACCACAATTCATAGGCATCGATTCTTCTCCTGTCACCCTTAGTCATTGTCCAGCTCTCTGGTGAATAGCAAATAATTGCAAAGACTATGGTCAGGATTGGGCACACCTTAGTCTCCAGACTGACGTTGTTGCTTTTGAGCACTCTGGAGAGGTGTCTGATAGCAAATTTTCCCAATGCAATTCGTCTTGATTTTCTGACTGCTGGTGCTAAGAGTGTTAATTGTGGAGCCAAACAAGCTGTAATTATTAACAACCTCAATCTCTTCTCCATCTATCATGATGCTGCCAATTGGCCTAGTGGTGAGAATCTTTATCTTCTTGATGTTGAGCTTCAATCCATATTGAAGACTACAGTCCTTAACCTTCAGCAGCAAGCACTTCAGGTTCTCTTCAGTTTCATCAAGCAAGGTTGTGTCATCTGCAGAATGTAAGTTGTTTATGAGTCTCCCTCCAATCCTGATGCCACATTCCTCTTCATAAAGCCCTGCTTCCCAAATTATTTGTTCTGCATATAGATTGGAAAGGTACAACCAGCCAGGAAATAAAAAGATCAATTGCATTAGGAAATTCTGCTGTCAGAGACCTCTTCAGAGTACGGAAGAGTAATGACCTAAGTGTGGAGACTAAGGTGCACCTGATCCAGGCCATATCTTCACACTTGCTTGCTATGCATCAGAAAGCTGGACAATAACTAGGGATGACGGAAAGAGAATTGATGCCATTGAGCTGTGTGCTGGAGAAGAGTACTGAATATACCATGGACTGCCAGGAGAACAAATAGGTTTATACTAGAGAGGATGAAACCAGGCTGCTCCTTGGAAGCAAGGATTCTGAGGCTTCATCTCACATATTTGGGTATGTTGCAAGGAGGGACCAGTCCTAGGAGAGGGACATCCTGCTTGAAAGGGTGGAGGAAGACCCTCAATGAGATGGATTGATTCAGTGGAGGAAGACCCTCAATGAGATGGATTGATTCAGTGACTAGGGTAATGATTCAGTGACTAGGGTAATGGGAGTAGGTGTGTCAGAGAAAATAAAGTTGTCACAGGATAGAGCAGGTTTCAGGATTATTGTACACAGGGTCACTATGAGTCATAAGCGACTGACTGGTCGGCACATAACAACAAATCAAATCGTGTGCCATCTTAATAATCACCCAAGCCTGTCTTCCAAGTTTAAGCTTTTGACAGCAATATCACAGGATATCTATGAATTTCTCTACTCCTAGGGTCAGAGATACTGGGTATCCTTCACCCCTGCTCTTGGCATGGAACATTCCAGACACTCAGCAGCCTCCCTACATAAGCCGGGGATGGTCCATGCAGACAGGTAACTCCAAGAGCAAGATCTTTCTCATGTGAGACTTCTGCTGACATGCTCACATGGACAAATGTTTCTACTCTCTTTGATAAGGTCCAGTCAACACAATTCACTCTTATTAGGAACAAGTGTGTCTCTATTCATAGCACGTTTCTTTTGTTCCACTGTTGACAGATTGACCACTTTCTCATTCCCTCTTTGCTTTGGCCACAAGGAAGCTCAAAGAAATCCAACAAGTTCAATAGTGTTAATCTTAGCTTAGATTTCTGGTACCATTTATTTCCCTCTTATCCACAGAATTGCTCAGTCTTTTGTGGTTTGGTATTAATGGGCGTAGCAAGGCTTCTGAATGAAGAGATTGAACACAGAACTGAAAGCCAGAAGCCCTGACCTCTCCTTGGAAAGCTCTGTAACTTTAAGATTGATTTTTCCCTCTCTGAAACTCAGTTTCCTGAAGATAGGTGTCCCTGTTCACTCCACCAAAAGGTCGTGTAATGCATGAAAGTGTTTCATAAATCAACAACTGCTTTTGCTGAATGATGGATGCAGGTGCTTGTCTTTAGAGAAACCAGGCTGTGTAAGAATGAATAAATAGCAACGAATTGTCAACAGGAATGTTGTTTGTTGTTGTTGTTATGTGCCATTGATTCGCTTGCGACTCATAGCGACCCTATGTACAAGAGCGCTATACGCTCTTCTATCCTGTGCCAACCTAGCCATCTCAAACACACTTTTCCCCACCTCTCCAGTCACAGAATCGATCCAGCTCATCAAAGGTCTTCCTCTCCTTCGCTGCTCCTCCACTCTGCCAAACATGATGTCCCTCTCCAAGGACGAGTCCCTCCTTGCAACATGCCCAAAATATGTCAGACGAAGCTTCAAAATCCTTGACTCCAGGGAATATTCTGGCTTCATCCTTTCCAGGACAAACCAGTTTGTTCTCCTAGCAGTCCATGGTATATTCAACACTCTTCTCCAGCGCCACAGCTCAAAGGCATCAATTCTCTATCAACCCTATTCACTGTCCAACTCTCTGATGCATAGCACGTAATTGCGAAGACTATCGCCTGGATCAGGCGCACCTTAGTCTCCAGTCTGACATCGATGCTCTTCAGTACTCTTGAGAGGTCCCTCACAGTCGACTTTCCCAATGCAATTCGTCAACAGGAATAGAATCATCCTATTCTGGTTACTTAAAACACACCAAAGAAGCCATGGTAGTGCAATGATTAAGCGTCTGGATGCTAACCAAAAAGTTGGCAGTTGAAACTCCTCCAGTGACTTCATGGGAAAAAGACCTCGCAGTCTGTTTTCCTGAAGATTATAGCCTGTGGAGCTGTTCTGCTTTGTCACACGGAGTCACTATGAGTGGGACTCGATGGTGCCCAACAAGTGTTCACTGAGATGGCTTCAGTGTATCTCCCTCCATGGCCCGCAGTATTAGGGTGATCAATTCTATTGTCCCAATGGGAAATCGGAGGCACTCAGGTGTGAAGCAGCTCCAGGTGGGGGTGGAGAGAAGCCCAAAGGGAAGGAACCCAGATGTTGATATCTTTTCTTGCCCACCAGGGATGTTTGTGCTCCCGAGATTATTAACTAGAGCAAACACGGAAAGCAAACTCTGTCAAAGATTGCCTGGACTTTGAGCCACTCTTTAAAAATTAATCCCAGGCCACAAAGATGCAAGGCTGGGAGTGGTCAGGTTCGCTGCGCCTTTCC